TGTTTGTGGTTTGTTTAACAAATCAGCACAGTCAGGATTGTGAACATTGTGAAGATTTACAAATTTACCAAGCAGCAGGGAGGGAGGAGGTCACACCTGGCACCTGAGGATTCTGAAGCACAATCATTTCATAAATGTCTGTTCTGATGGAGGGGAGTTGGAACGAGATGAGCTTTAAGGTCCCTTCCAGCCCAACCCATTCTCTGGTTCTGTGAACCTGCCAGGCCTGGGAAAGGTCCCTCTCCTGACTTTATGGCCATACCTGCCTGTATAACGTGGATTCCAGTTCAGACTCCACAACACTGTCAGAGTCTCTGGCACCTTTCAGGGCTTGCTTGACCTGCCAAGACCAAAGGAAAACCACCTCATTATCCATAGCAAAACAAGGTGGAAAATAGCACTGATCCCACCTGGGTACCTGTGAGACAGCCTGGTTGAGAGAAACCAGAGGCCTCTTCCTCTTCTCCTCATAGCTGTTGTCACTGGAAGCCCCCTCCATGCTGTGGTGTAACAGGATCCTTTGTGCTGTGGCCTCGGCATCCTCCTCACTCGACAGCTCGTCAGAAACACCGTCCCTGTTGGTGCCATCATCCTACAAATGCACAGCCAAAGCCACACCGAGGACCAGCCTGAGTCCCATCAAAGGCTCAGAGGCAGAGCCTGCACATGATCCCCACAGAACACACAGAGAGACAATTCTCTTGGCATCACTGAGACTTGACAGATTTTAACTCCTTTCCCTTGCTCTTGTCTTGCCCCAGAGGGAATGAGAGAGAATTTTGGGTGGGTGGAATTGGAGCTGGGGCAAGGGCAGGAAGAGGAGGAGACACCAGCAGCTCTTGGCTGTGCCTTACCAGCAGCCTTAAGCCCAGATGTGTCTAGGAGCTGAGGAGTAACAAACCCAAAATCCTGGGCTGTGCCCCTCTCCAAACTCCTTCACAGAGAGGAGGTTGGATAGCACAGCAGGACAGAATTCCTCACAGGATCCATTCCAAGTTCATGTGGAGTTAACACACCACTGGCCCAGAGGAAACTCAAGAGTAATTCCCAAAATCTTTATTTCAAAGCTTTCAACAGAGGTCACAATGCTTTAGCTCTTTCTCTCTCCCCAAGGGATGTCTCAGTCGTGCAAGACAAAATATTTTACAGAACTGCTTTTGAAAACTGACAATTTGTTTAGTCATTATCAGCACTCTCCCTCAACTGAGCACCTTGTGATCAGAAGTGTCAACAATTAACAGAGCACTTTGGTAAAACACACATTCCAGCACTGTCTGTGTTTGACAATACTTGGTCAGGTTAGACAGGGCTTGGAGCAACCTGGGATAGTGGAAGGTGTCTCTACCCACGGCAGGGGGTGGAATGAGATGAGCTTTAAGATTCTTTCCAACCCAAACTACTCTGGAATTCTATTCTATGATTATGAAAAGAAAGTAGCAGCACCTTTTCAGCTGCTCAGTGAGAGGCAGAAAGGGATTCCCTAATGCAGGCAAAGATTAGCAGAAGGAGGGAATATCTTGTATTAGATCAAACCATACAGTTAAATACCAACACCCTTCTGGGCACACAAACACACAAACTGTGATTTCAGAGGATCTCCCCTGGCAGTACCTGATGGCTCTTCTCCCCATCAGAAAGTTTACTTTTGTCTTTGGAGTGCAGCAGCCTGTGTTCAGATCTGGCCTGTCTGGGTCTGATGCCATCACCCTCAGCACTCACACCACTTTCTGTCTCGGTCCCTTTCTCAGCTACCAGCTTTACTCTTGTATTCCTAGGAGAGAAAATACAATTAAATGCCTTTATGTCAGGGAAAAACTCTTTGGGGTAAAACATTCTGGTCTTCCATTGTCACACAGGTGAACATCAAACAGGTGAGCATCAAACAAGAAACCTAAGGGATAAATCATTTTCTTTGGCTGGCAGGCTTTGTGTGCTGAGTGTGTTAAAAAGATTTATATCTGCTTCACCCTCGCCTGATACGTCTTTTGTAACTCTAATAATATTTTAATACTTCTAAATCAAAGGGAACGTTTTCATTGATTTTATTAAAAAAAAAAAATAAGAGTATTTCAGAAGACAAAACGTCCTCACGAAGAGAAAGCACCTGTAAGCTGGAAACTCACCAGGAAATTCACCTGAGAAAACAGGAGGAAACAATGAAATATTATCTCACACAATCGCTCCTCCTTTTCCTTGAATTACTTCTAGAGAAGGAAGGTGCCAAAGTGAGACAACTGTCCAAACCAGAAGGCACAATTGCTTTTGGAAATCACCTACAACAGCAATATAATCTGAGCACTCACTCAAACAAGGTCACTTATCTGATAAATAAATCCACCACATTCTACAGCTCATCTAACACTTGGTTCCACATGATCTAATTTTATGCAGTCTAATTTTATATGATCTAATAAGGACATACTAAATATTCCTGAGGAATCAGCTTCCCACATTACCACGAAAGTTTTAATTCAAAACAAGCCTGACAGGCTGTGGGGATGTCAGTGACAGCTCATGCTGTGCCTTCATTCTCCAGGTACCAAACTGCTCCCAGTGCCACGAGCAGCACAGAGGCAGCAGGGATCACATACCTCCTCTGGAAGAGCAGGCTGGATAAATTGGTCAGCAGAGATGCAGAGCCACACTGCTCTTCCTTGCTGCTTCTGTCAGGAGGAGACCAACTGTTCCCATCCACACCCACAGGCTTGCGTAACTTCCTGAGTTTTAAGACAAGGAGAATTAAGTTGGTGTAAGAAGCTACTTTAAAGTCTTTCTCAAAAGACCTGAATGGGATTTGAGCAGCTTTTTGGATGCCATTTTTCTGAAGTCATGCAAACAGCATAGTGACTTCCAAATTAAAAATTCTCCCTATACCCCCAGCACATCAGGGCGTCACTGGGAAAGGCACAAGGGACAAAATCTGGAGGGAATCTTTGCTGCAGCAGCCTGAAGGAGGGAAAGCTCAATCCAGCCCCACCACGCCCAGCTGTGATCCCAGGCAGGGCCCTGCTGGGGCTCACCTGCGGCGCCGGCTGAGCCCGTTGTTCCCTGCAGCTCTGTTCACCTGCGTGGACACGATCTGGCAGTGAACTGTCCCCAGCAGCAGCATAAGGCACAGGGGTCCCATCACTTCACTGGCACTCACAACAGGCACCATGAAGTACAGCACCACTGCTACGACTGGAAAGGGGGAAATGGCACCAAAGCAAAAATTAAAGAGTCTGTCTCAACTATTTGTTTTTACTCTGTTGTATTATTAATTTCTGCAATTACTAGTGCCACACACACCTTGAAATACACATTAAGTAGGTTCCAGACAAGATCCTCATGCTTTAGATTATGGACTACAAAATCATAGACTCACAAAGTTTGGAAAAGCCCTCTGAGACCATCGAGTCCAACCACTCCCCCAGCACTGCCAGGTCCACCCCAGCCATTTCCCCAAGAGCCATATTCTTCGATGTTACATTCCTTGCAGGAGAAGGTTTATGGCACAGCCTGTTCCCTCACCTTGCATAACATAGAGCACCAAGAGCCACATAAAAATACGCTGGGAAGTGACCTGTATCCACCACTGGCTGAACAAGGGGAAAAACACCACTCTCACAATTCCCTTCCTCGTCAGTGATGTCCACGGAATTTCAGGCTTGGCTTTGGCAAAGGTAGAGCCTTGGAATTAAAGAGGAAACAAGCCACCATTAAGTGTGAATCACAAGAACTTCTTTGCTGGAGTTGCCCTTTGGGCAGCCCCAGCCCTGCCACAGGGCTGAGCAGGGGGTGACAGCAGCGCAGCTCCAGGCACCATTTAAAGCTAAAGCAGCTCCTCGTCTTCCCTCACAGCTCTGCCTCTGACCCTTCCCTGCCCACCCAGCACTGCTCCCACTGACCACTCCTGCAGAGCCACCCCGAATTCCTCCTGCTCTGCTCTCAGGTTCTCAGCGCTCCTTTTGGCTCAGTGCTCACGAGCAGGGGCTCCCCTGGCAGCAGGGCAGGCTCTGCTTCCCCCACCCTGCACAAAGCTGTGATGCACCTACAGAATCGTGGAATATCCTGAGCTAGAAGAGACTCACAGGGATAGTCAAGTCCAGCTCTTGTCCTTGCAAAGACACCCCCAAATCCCACCCTGGGCATCCCTGGAGCGGTGTCCAAACTCTCCTGGAGCTCTGGCAGCCTCGGGGCCGTGCCCATTCCCTGGGGAGCCTGGGCAGTGCCCTCTGGGGGAAGAACCTTCCCTGACCTCCAACCTAACCCTCCTCTGACCCAGCTCCAGCCGCTCCCTCGCTGCCAGAGAGGAACAAACAGAGCCAGCACCGCTCACCGCTGATCAGATCCACGTCGATCAGATCGGGCTGGATGTGCCCCTTTTTCTTCGGCTTGTTCTTGAAGCCCTGCGGGGCGGAACACACGGCCGAGTGAGCGGCGAGGGGCGCGGGGCCCGCTCCCCCCCCGCCGCCGGTACCTTCATCTGGGTCTGCTCCACGGCCTTCTCCCATATCTGCTGGTCGTAGGCCCCGATCTGCGGGGAGAGGAGGCTGAGGGCACGGCCGGGCCCGCGCCCGCCCGCCCCGCGCCGCACTCACCTTCTTCTGGTACCATGAAATGGCATCGCGACGGGCCATGGGGGGCGGCGGGAGCGGCGCGGCCCCGGTACCGGCACCGAGCCCGGCCCGGGACCGAGCCCGGCCCCGCTCCCGTTTCCCTGGAAACCGCCCGGCGCTCGACTGGCTCCGCCTGCCGCCCCCGGCACCCGCCCAGGCAGCGCCAGCCGAGCGCCGAGCGCTCCCCCCCACCCCAAACCCGCAGAGGAAAGAAGGGCCAAGACGGGTAAAGGACAAAATCAGACTTTTGTTTATTAAAAAAATACTTTACAGGAAAAAAATTCTATGCATTCCGCAGGACTATTTTACAAAGAAATAGCTTAACAGTTTGACACTGGTGTACAGTCAGCTACCGACAGCGCGGGGGGGCGCGGGGCCGCCCCCGCACACGCGCGAATGTCAATAAATACACTAAGGCCGCACAAAGCAAACAGTCGTCCAGGCAATTGTACACGTCCTCTGGAGGCAGAGACCTTAGATAAATTAAAACCACAGAAAAAAATAATCGTAGCTGCCAATCAAATCAAATTAAATCACGAAACAGCAATACAGGAGTCGGTATCTTTACATGTTGTACAGAGAAATCAGGAGAAAGCGGGTGTTTGTCTGAATGCTCGGCGTGCCCTGGCCACTGCTCGGAGCCCACGGGAAGGGACAGAACAGGCCCTGGGGGAGAGGCAGCGATGCCTCCGCTCCTCTCCCACCCCCTCAGCCAGCACAGAGCTGCCCAGGCTCAGCACTCCCCGGCAACTGCAACCGCAGAGCTCAACACTCGGCTGATTCACACCCCAAACCGGGGCAGTCACCCCCGATGGAGGGCTTGGGGAAAGCTCTGACAATCTGCCTTGCCCAGGGGAACTGTTCTGTAACAGAAAACCTGGCAGTGCCCCTGTGAAAAGTGTCCCTTAGGAATGCCCTGGGAACACTCGTGGCAGGTACCTGCACACAGCGACCCGGGCTTTATCCAGAGGAGAGAGGAAACCAAAGCCAGCCGGTATTACAGCTTTACACTGCATTTGCTTGTCCATTTCTAGCACAGCTGAGCCACTTGCCTTTATCTCTGGGATGTTTTAGTCACCAGCACTTGATTTAAAGTCGAGCCTAAGCCTCAGTTCTGTTTTACAGACAGCTCTTGGCCAGTGACAGCTGTCTGCAGTACAAAGCAGGACTGACACACATCACAGAGCAGACCCTCATAAATGGAGAACTGAGGATTTGCAGTAACTGACCAGTACATTCATATTAGGAACTGTTTTGTATCTGCTTTCCACTGAGAATAACAGAATGTCAAGGTAGTGGAATGGACCTTAAATATCATCCAGTCCCAACTGGATGTCCCAGCTCCCTGCATGTGCACATCTCCCACCGGGCCAGGCTGCTCAACCTGGCTTTGAAAACTTCCCAGGTTGGGGCATCCACAATCTCCCTGGACAACCAGATCCTCACTACCCATCAAATTTCCTCCTAATCTCTAACCTAAATTCCTCCTCTTTTGATTTGTACCCATGTCCCCTTGTCCTCTTACTCAGTTCCTGATGAACAGCCCCTCTCCAGCTTCCCTGAGCCCCTGCAGATGCTGGAAGGGGCTGTGAGGTGTCCACACTGAACAGCCCCAACTTCCTGAGCCTTGGAACAAGCCATGAAATATGCTAAAGTTTGATTAGCTCCTTAAGGAGCCTGCTGTATAAAATCTTGGAGAAATTCAAATAGCAGCTATTTAATATGAGATATTCAAAAGTATTTACTGGATTTGTTCTGCTCAAATGATAAGTGGCTTGAACTTTTTACTTCCTCTCTAAACAGCTCTAGCTCATAAAAAAAAAATCTGTGTTCTACAGGTCTTGGGCTGGAAAAGATTTGCATTTGTCCCATCAAGGCTTTGTTCTGGGCAACTGAAGCAATGGCTGGAGAGTGAGCAGCTTCCCAAGCAATCCCTCTCATACTTTACATTCAGAGTTGAGCTGGAATTTGAAAGTGTGCCAGTTTGGTTAAAGCACAGCAAAACTGAGGATGAATTTAATAAGAGATTCTCAAAGAGCTTGTTCCTCTCTCCCTCAGTCTTCCAAAATAGGATAGCATCAGCAACATTCAGGTCATTCAAAGATACCTTTATTTACGTGCATTTAAATCTGACATTAGGTTTTAAGTTAGTAACTGAGCAGAGCACAGAGAGCATGATGCTACTGGTCATGTCCTTCCATGCAAGAGGAAGTCAGAGCATTTTCCAGGTATTTCAGGCTGTTGTCACAGATTTCACTAAAGATATAGCTTGGAAAGTAGCACAAACCACCCTAGTGTTCCTTCCTCCATTTGAAAACGTGCTATTGGAATTTACATTCCAATTTTCCCAATAAACAGACAGGCTGGTGCCTGGGGGCTCTCAGTGTGTTTGCTGTGCCTTTGCAGGCTCGCTGTGGCCCCTGCAGGTGTGACAGTTCCTGAGTGATCAGTGCTGGCTGCCAGGGAAGGGCCACCCCGGGATGGGCCAGGGAGCAGCAGGGAGAGGCGCGGAACGGGCACGTGGAAGACTCGCAGACTTGGTCAAAAGGAAAGAACACCCCTGGGGAATCTTTGAAAGTGAAGGATGAACTGAAACCACTATTGCCTGTGAGGAATTTTACTTTGCACAACCCTTAAAGCTATGAAATTCCTCTCAACATAAAAAGTGGAAAAAACCCACCAGAGAACTGACGGCTCATTTCTGAGCCGCGCTGAGTCATCTAGAATTTCTGCTAAGATTAAATTACACCCCTGCATGAATCACATTACTTCTCATCATAAAAGCTTTCCATTCTAACACCTTATTTACACAGATTACTAAACGAGTCACTACCACTTCAATCTGTAAATTAGTTTTAAATTGAAATATTTCCTAGTCCTCATTTTTGTACCGAAGACAATACATACATACACATAAGGAGTAATACAGGTTCTAACTAATCACTGCAGTATCTTCTGAGGATTATTTCTCTATCAGTTTAAAATAGTGACCTCTACACTGAGGTGCTAATATGTATATAAAAGCCTACACAAACAATATTGCACAAAGTAAGATTTATAATAGAGTAACATATTTTAGAGACCCTTATAAAGAGAAGAGTAATAATTGATATTAAAAAGATGCATCCAGAACTAACACAGCATCTTTGCTTTTGTCTAGTCTAACATAGTGTTTCAAATCTTTCCTACTCCAGTGAGGATTAGAACAAATAAAGTTATCTGGAGACAGCTTAAGTTGCACCAAACCCCAACTTGTACTCTAAATGTGGGGAGGAGGGAGGGAGAGGGAAAAGGGACTTTTCCTTTTGATGACTGGAAAGGGCAGTAATAAATGGGGTGAGTGAAAGTCAAATACAGATTACACGTTAACATCCAGAAATATTGAAAGATTGTTTAAAAACTGTTGATAGCTGACACTCTACACATTGAGCATGTGCTGCTGATTTTTCCACAGTAACTGGGCACCCAGGAGCTACACATGGAAAAAGCAGTCCAATGCCAAGATACTTTTTATTGTGAAATACTAATACAGAACTTACACAGTAAGGCTGTCCTTATTCTAGGAAGTCAGGTATCAGCTCAATGCTTATTATATTAAGTGCATCAGTACAAGGGAAGTGTGGATCCATTGGACACGTTACGACCCCATCAAAACAAGCTGCCAAGTTGGTTAAGTATTTTAAAGCCTTAAAGTGCTCAAAGATAGCAGTTTCCTCCACAAGACTACCAAGAGGTTCTCTAATTTTGACACTAGCATTTATCACGTTCAGGGAAGATGTATTTTGGAAGCAAAAACCCTCACATCAAACAACATAAGCAGTGCTATGAGAAGTGTTAGGTCAGTAAGTCGTTGCATTTCAACAGGAATCAGACACTTGCTTCAGTTCTTTTTACAGGTCACCCTTGTAGGAACTGTAAGAAACATCAATTTCTATAGCTTGTATATAAACCAATATGTCAAGAACAGACATACTGAAAATTCCACAAATCATCAAAAGTGCTGTGCTTTCTCTATTTTTTTCCTTTTTTTTCTTTTTTACTTTTTTAAGCAATTAAAACGAGATGGGGAAGTCACTTTGCAAGTCTTCTACAAAAGCATCACTTTCTGGTGAAGATTAGAGATAAAGTAAAAGTAGGGAAATAACACTGACCAATGGAGTTCAATCATTTCGTGTTCCTGGAGGAATTTCAATCTGACTTTGAGAAGATATTCAACATCTCTTTACTTAAACAGAAAGAAGTGGTAGACCACTGTTACAGGTTGTACTAAGGGGTTAAAATACAACTTGAATTTTGCATAATCTGTGTAAAAAAGATATGCTTGACATTTTGGAATGTCACCTTTCTTTATAGAATTATAGGCAAGATTTCTCCAATAAAACATAAGCCAGTTATAAAACTATAACTTCACATCAAAATTTTAAAAAGTTGCTTAAAAAATGTTTGAATATATACATATCACACAGAAGAGCCTGCATGATCCTGTGGATTGCGTTGCTGATCAGACTCTATTTTAAAACCTGGAAGGGGCTGGGCCACCTGATCTGGTTGCACAAGTCCTGATATTGAAGAAACAGAGGAGGAGAGCACCCCTGGGGTAAGCTGAATTTCCATACCTGGTTCTTCAGACTCTATTTTTACACTCACACCTTGGGGTTCACCTTCTGCCTCTGTGTTTCCAGGAACATCACTGTTCAGGCTTGAATTGCTTTCTGCTTTTGGAGAAGTCTCCCCCACTGGGTGATACTGTTTGAGTCTGATGTGCCAGGCTAAGCTGCAGACTGCTGACACTGTTTTGAACTGATGAATGACATTTCTAGGGATGAAGTAGATGTCATTGTCACACAACTGAATCCTAGCATAGCGAATGCCTTCCCGTCTCATTTGGTTTAGTTTGGCTTCATCCACCCATTGAACACACTGGGAGAAGGAGAGATGGGAAAGTTAGTGGGAAACTCTTCAAACAATTCAGCACCTTCCTATTTTCAAGTTAATTCATGTCTAAATCAGAATGTTTCCATTTCATGGGTAAAACTTCAACTCGACTTTTAAAATAAATTTCTCTGATGTGTACATCTTGAGAGGAGAATGAAGAGGTTTCTATAGCTATAGTTAAAAACAACAACAATGGGCTGCATTGTTTGGGCTGACAGGACTGAGTTTAGATGCTTCCATATCCTAAGACATCATCAGGCATTAGAAAATGCAGGAATAGGCACACATGGTTTAATGAACAGATTGTTTCTATAGCACACCATGGGACTCCCAGCATGAACCCCAGCTTGGGGGAACGGAAAAGTTAAAAGTTCCCTTCCAACTGAACTATTTTATCCTGAAACACAAGGGAATTTACCCAAGAGAGCTGAGAACTGAGGGGATACAAAAGGGCTGACCTTAGGGAGAAGCTGGGATCTGTCAGAAATTCCTCCCAAAACACCAGGAATGAGCTGTCACAAGGGCAGATTTGATACCTGTGACACTGGAGGTTCATGCAGGTCCAGCTGAAGTCTCTGCACAACATCAGTGAAGTCTTCAGCATGAAAACAAACCACATCTTTGGTTATACGAGGCTGGTCACTCCTAGGAAAAAAATGAGAATTCCAGGCATTTTTGAAATATTTGACTTACAGACCATTACAGCTCTTCCCAGCAGAAAGCTTCATTGAACCAATAACCTGCTTCAGTGTTACACTGTGCACAAAGTCTCAACACTTCTCAATAGTGTATTATTTTGAAAAAGAGGGATACTTCATAGATCTCTCTTTTTTCTTTCTCCATTTTTGCTGCATTCACAACAGAAGTGATGTTTGCATGGACAATATACTGAAAAGCCTGAGACCAGGTTCAAACTGCCACTATCAAAGTCCTTTGTGTTCTAGGAGCCACAATTTGCCTCAATTCTTCCATTTTATAATTGGACAGAATAATTCTGCATTAAGGGAAAAATGCAAAATTACAAAGTAACACTGAAGTTGAAGCAGTGAGGAATTTTATTCAACAGCTGTGAAACAGAGTATAGGAAAAACTGGTATATTTTATTCTAATGATATTGCTAATGATGGTATCCAATTTCTACTGTAATTTCTAGCTATTACAATCATGCAAGTCCAGTTTCTCTGCAAGGTCAACAGCAATATCCTGGGTACATGACCTGAGAAAGCACTGCAGCTGTGAAATTAATTACACTGAGCTCTTAGACTACAGTTACAAAAGCTAGAATTAATATACCTGCTCAGGAAAAGAATAATCAAGGATGATGGTCCAAGTTTGAGGCTTTTGTGTATCACTAAAATATTCTGCAAGCAGCTGTTACAAAATTTTTACTGCCTCAAGATGGAAAAATAGGAGGTACACAGCTTGAGGTTTTCAGCTCTGTGCAGCTTTGCAGAATGAACAAGGTTGGAAAAGATCTTTAAGATCATCTAGCCCAACCTATGACCTAACACCTCCACATCAACTAAACCATGGCACTGAGTGCCACATCCAGCTTTTATTTTTAAACACATCCTGTGACTCCCTCACCTCCCTAGGCAGGTGATTCCAGCGATTGTCTCATCATGGGGTTTAAACCATTCCTGATTAGGAAGGAATTATTAAAAAATAAATAAATTTAAAAATCCGCATTCCAGCAGCACTTACCATTCCCCAAACTGCACAGCCTTGAGCACCCCGACAGCAGCTGTGCTCTGCCAGTCAAAGCCCTGCCCCACGTGGTCAGCGTGAGCTCTGGTCCTGTCCTCAAACAGGACCTCGCGGGGCTCGCTGGTCCGAGGTAGGTACTGCAGGTTCTTGATCTCGTTCATGGACCTGCCGCGGCAGAAAAACACACACTACAGATGGCCCTGCTGCTCCAAAATTAACGGTTATATTGAAATCGTCTTAAAATTCTGCGTGCTGCAGGCTATAAGGAGACAAAGCACTTCCCTCTGGTTTTTTCTAGGTGTTTATTTGGTGAAAGATTGGAACAAAAGCAGCAAAGTAAAATTCAGGTTATGAGAACAAACTTTACAAAACAAATCAAGTCACATAATTTTTGTGTTTACTTGTGCTGAAAAACTTCCTCCAGGAATGTACTGGTATGTAAAACAGAGCTATCTTCCAGAACCTGAGCTTCAGTTACTTGGGAGTACATCCAAAATTCTCCTTGAAACAACAATTACAATATGCTTCTAAATCGCCTGAAATTTGTCTTAGAGGCGTCTTTCAGAGACAGAAAGCAAGAACACACAATAATTCCAGAGCAGGCAGTGTTACAAGTGCTTTAGCACTGACATTAGAATGCAGCAGCAGAAAGATCTCTGCTGCTTTACAGCATTCCACCTGGCCTTACCACCAAATTGGTTCTTGACAAAGAAATAACATTAATTAAGTCTCCTGAAGGATAATGAAAGGAGGTTTTAATCTTAAAGCACTTATCTAGGATAGGTGAGAAGTACTGACAGATACTGTGAGAAGTAGTGAAATAAAATAACCATCACAGGTAACATTTGCTTTATCAGCTGAGCCAATTTGAAACAAAGTGAAAGTGAAACTTAAACCTGAATTAGTCCTCTGAAGAGCCAGTTACACATCAAGTGCTTTGCTTTTGTTCTCAAGTCTGACACTGACTTAAGTGCAATGTTTTACCTCGAGGAGAAAAGGAAACCCAAACCTTACCGGCGCCGTTTGAAGGGTGATTTTGGCATATCAGCTGTGGGGATCATCTGCTCTCCCGGCCTCACCCACATGATGGGCCCATCATCACTCTGGGACCTGCACTGCAGTCTGAGACTGGAAAGAGTCCCCCAGGGCAAAGTCATCTAAAAGAAAACAGGAACAAAACAATCCACAAAACACACATAACACAAAACACTGGGTGAGATAGAAAAATTTAATGATGCCTTTGGTAAAACTGGTTCAAATCTTCAAAAGAATTGCATAAAAACTAAATAAGTTTGAGAGGCAAAAGATATTCCAAGCTAATTTTACCAAGCATAGTTTTTAGGGAAGTGCATGTAGTGCAAGTATATATATAACAAACTTGATTTTTTAAAATTAGCCACCTCATTCCATGCCTTACAACTGGACACAGAAAAGAATGAACCTCAGTAGCCCAAATAAGCACATCAATAAAGAAAATACCTTACAGTTTCTAATGACTTAGAAACCTGACAATTGTTTAAATATCTACAGTGCTCTGAACACACCACAAGTTACTGCTTACTCTAAGAAATGGAGATTCTTCCAACATATCTAGGAATTCTGGGAAGTAGTCCCCCACTTCTTCATCCACGGCTCCCACCAGGCTGATCTGGCGCATGGGTCCTGCTCTGTAGGTGCCACAGCAGTACGTGCGATTGACCTGGGCCGGACAGAGACACAACAGCACCACGCCTTTAGTTCTCTCACGGGAGGAGAAAAGTGTGAGCTAACACAGCTGGGATCAAGCTTGGACTCGGCCACATCTGTTTCAGCAGATGTGCCTTTGGGAATATGCACAGAGAGTGCTTAGAACAGAAGAGAAAAAAAGGACTCCCGCCTGTAGTCCTGACAGGAAATCCTTCTGGAGTCTGAGTAACAGCAAGTGAATATTTGACTAATTCAGGAACAATTCAACACTTCCATGCTGACTTGAGAAAACAACCACACAAGGTTTCATTGTGACTCAATGCAAGCTTTAACTCTCCACTAGTTTGTGCAGCTGGACTGTTGCTTCCACATTTCAGACTGGATGCTCCTGGGATATGCACATTCCTCATTTCAGTCCTGGCCCTGAGGTCCTTCCCCTGGGACTGCAGTGGAAAACCTCAGTGTCCTTCATGCAGTAGTACACGCAGTACACACAGAAAATTGGACAAAAAGCAGAGGAAATGAGAGGTGTAGCTGCAAAGCCAATGCTCGTAGAGAAGAATTTTAGAATAACCATTTGCAGTAGAACCTGTCAGTGCTGGGGCCACAAACACTTTAATCTCACAGCTCATGGACGTCCTCTAGAACACAGACTGTCCCACTTTTCCAGGTCATCTGGAAGTTTTTCTTGCCAATTTCCTGTTCCCAGAGGAGATCCACTGGCAAGATTCCAGTGTTGTGCAGCCTCATCCCATGGACTGCACTGGAACGTGCCACAGAGGAGGCTCTGTGTAGGTACCTCAGTAATTGATATTATAGAGCACAAGTCTGTTTTGCACACTCAGTTGTGTCTGAGCCCCAGCTTTCCACCACCCTTCAGTGTATTAGGGGTGAAAAACTCCAGCTGTTCTCCATGGCTGAGTGGTGGAACAATACAGACAATTACTGGTAAATTTGCAGTTTAACAGCCATGTTCACACAGTGTAATGCATTTTCTAACTCCACTTACAGATACAGGGATGCAGCAGCTTAGCTTTAAGTTTAGTTTCAGTTTTGCATGTTCAGCCAGCAAACCAGATGTCATTAAACTACTCCATGCAGTTGTTAAAGGTAAATTAGGAGAGACTAATAAAGGAAGAACAGAGTTACTGCTGCAATTTTATCCTCCACCAGCAGCCATAGATATTTCACTTCTTAATTAAAGGAGTTTAGCTTACTCTGCTGAATGCAGTTCAGAGCAGGAGCACTGGAGCACCACAGCAATATTTTAGTTCTGTGCACCTACAGAAAAACTAAGGACTGAAGTGCTGTGGTCCTTATTCAATAAAGTTTAACTGCCTGGCACTGTTTATGTAAGTGGAGACAGACTCCTTCCAGATGAGTTCTGTGCTATTGAAACCACCTGGTGAGAGTCACTAGTATTTTACAGGTGTTTGTCATGAATTAAAATTAATTATAATTCCATATGCAGTTTTTCCTCTTAATGTTTTCAAAGGAAATGAAAAATGAGAAGCTTTGTTTTTGTTTTTTTTTTAATGCACTGGAACAATGAAAAAATAGACGAGAACTCAGGAGTTATAAAGGAAACAGCAGAAATACTTTAGGGAAACACTGGATTTCAACGCTTTACTAGTTTTTAATAGAAATTAAAGGAATATACACACTTGAGGATTAAACCCAGCACACATTTACACTGACAACATGCACCAACCCACAGCAATCCCCAACAGGCTGCACTATTCATCTCAAGCACCTCAATCACAGAGGATTGTAGTCTACTCCTTTAATATGCCATAAAAAACTCCTTCACAGCATCTCTCCTCAATTCCTCCTGAGCAGCAAACAGCAATGCCACTGTCAGGCCAGTGGTCTCAACATGATATAATGGACATCTAAAGGAACAGGCACCTCGCTCTCTCTCGACCATGGGTGGTTCAGTGTCCCATGAGGAAGCCCCTGCCTGCTGCACTGCGAACTGCTCTGGCCTTCCCTTCACCAGGTGCTCCACACTCCCCCCAGCTCCATTCACTCCACAGCCACTCTGTGTGCACCCCCCACTGCAGGGAAGAAAGCTGAGATGATTAAATAGCTGAAGTCACTTCCTTATATCCTTTAGGACCTCTCTCAGTGTTTTTTATTTTTGTTCAAAGTTCAGCTCTTGTTTAGGAATTCAGCTGGGGTCACTCCAGTTCACACGGCTGCCAGAAGTCAGTAACTTATTACCACAGCACCTCCCTCGCTAGAATTTGTTCTCTGTGCTGCTTTAAAAGCAGCAGGGGACCACGAGCAGTCACTGCCACTGTTTTTACTGTTGCTAAAGGACAATGGGGCCAGTAAGACCACTCGGGCAGCCTGTGCCCTTGCAAATCCACCCAGCCGTCAGTGCCCTGTGTACCCCCCACTCCACACGGACAGCGAGTTTAAAATTAGCTCGAGTGCTCATGGAGACATTTTCCCTCAGCTGCACCATGTGCCTATCAGTGTTTCCCACACTTGGGTGAGAACAGAAGCAGACAGAGGCAGTGTTTCCTGTCAGAGGCACAGAGCTGGTGTTTATTTGCATGTTCCTGAGCCACCCCAGCCTCAGCACGGGTTAAGTGAGCACAGGATGAGGACACGCAGATGAGGCATCAGCTGGAGACAAATGAGGTTAAGTCTCAGAAGTTTCTCTCCAGTTGCAAGAAAAGCATGAATCACTTGACAGCAACAATATTTTAGCGTGTCAAGTCAGCTATAAAACCAACCACACAAACGCTTGGCTACAAGGAAGAAAGCAAGAGCACAAGGCTGGTTCCTGCTGAAGGACAAGACAGTGACACGCCAGCACAGCAAGGGTGACATGTTTGACTAGAATGTGACATAGTGCAGGACCACTGGGCATTGTTTATGTGGCTTTAGTGACAAAACAAGAAGAAGTTTGCAGTACAGATGCACAATTTCTCTATTTCATACTTTGGTAGCTACTGCTAAAAAAAAAAAAAGTAGAAATTACCCTTCCAGAATCAGAGAAGTTCATGTGAGGCAGAAAACCAAACTGTGATGTGTTTCATGAACCAAAGCTGTCAGGGACAGAGTAACCTGTTCTGAACAGCAGGACTAAGAAAATTTCCCCAGTTATCACCTGTTGGCTGCTGCTCCCACCTTCTTCCCAGAAGGAAGAACAACTTATGCAAAACCTACTTCCCCAATTCTCTTTCCTGGCCTCTTCCCAGAACCCCCACACACCCTCTGTGACAGCCTAACTGTTCTTTGGATCAGAGAGAGAATTCATCAGGCAGTTGATCAGCCAGGAAAAAAAGCAGAAGTGTTTTTTAAACTCTAAATATATTCCCATTCACTGAGTGGAAGCAGTTGTACTGAAACAAGTGATAAGGAAAATAAGAGTTCATTCTAGCTGCACTGCAAAGAGCTTCCAAATTAAAGTGTGCCCTTATGTGAGGAAAGATTACAAATTACTGCTCAATGATTTGAGTCTTGAAAACTCTCAGCCCAAGTGAACAGCTCCACACTAAAGCTGAGCTCCAACACTGAACCAATGAGAGTCAATGCAAGCAAAAAAATCCACAGGACACTAAAGCTTGATTATTTTAAGATACTGAAACCAAACATTTCTGTAACAAATACACATTGGAGTGCTTTGCTATAAACTCACTGGCCTGAGAACAGAGGAATTCACCTTGCAAGGCAGTTAATTATCACTAGACTTACCAAGTCCTTCAGATTAAAGTCCTTATTTTGAACACAACAATTCAGTTTCTCTAAAAACACAAAACAGCAGAACATTGTGCAAGCCAAAGATCACATTAACTTGCAGTTTACAGAACAAATTTTGATTTCTTGACACTGAATCTTTAGGATTCAAGACTCCTTAATGCTCCAAATCCCCTCAGCACGGGTCAGTGCAGCAAACAAACTCATGCACAGAGGAAGAACCCAGAAGGCAACAATGATAAATAATCAGTGTTGCAGCACACAATAGTGCAACATGTTTAATCTGCAAAAGCACAACTATGAAGTGCTCCCGTGCTGTACAATTCTCATACAGAAGGGTGAAAAGTGCAGTTCAGCCAGTCTGTTCATCCCTCACTGTGCTGCCAAGGAACAGCAGCACAGGTTCATCACTCCAAGCCTCAGGGCACTGCAGCCTCCTCCATTCCAAGACAGGCCAGCCTGCAAAACTTGGGTAACCCACAACCAATTTCAATGTTTCCTTCAGCTTTTCCATCATCTGTGTTCCCTGAAGAGCCCTGTGACAGCTCCCCTGCTCTGTTTGCTCAGGGACAACTGCACTAACACTTCAGCCACAGAGGATTAACCAGGTCATGCTGGAGCTGGGTTTAGAGAAGTGGTTTAGACCAACTGAACCTTATGTCATGACTCAATCTTAATCAAGTTTAGACAGTACTTAAAATAGAATTAATTGAAGTACCAGCACACTATAACCCAGCAAAGCCTCTTATTTATTACCATACATTCCTCATGTGTATTTATAGTGCCAGTATTCGTGTTCACAGGACATTCACCAAGAAAAAATGCAATTGTTAAACATTCCAGAGGCTCTGTTTAGCCATTTCAGGGGTCATCACATGTACTCCAGAATGCAATCTGGATACTAAAAGAACACAGATAAATCACAAATAGAGAAGACTTCAAAGCCTGATTTGTGGACACATTTCACATTTGCAGCACACAGGTGTGTGCTGTGCACAAGAGCTAATGCCCACAGCAGTGGTTCATATGCTCAAAGACTGTTTTGGGGCACTCTGCACCCAGACATAGCTCTGTCAGCACAAAGAATTACTTAAACCAAGAAACAGGAGCTGGTTAAAATAAGTGCTGCAGCAGCAAATCACTGTCAAACAAAATGCCAAGTGTCAGAATTATTCATTTAATGCTATTCAAAGACTCCACAGTGACCATGCAGTTACTTTCTGTAAAGCAGTAATTGTTTTTCCAATGCAAATCTGACTTATAAGTGTTTGGTAAATCCTGCAGAAATCCAAACGGCCCATCCACAAGCACTAACACTCCAAAGTCTGTTGTTAAAGGTGTGCTCCTATTGTACTGAACTGAACTCCACTACAGAGTTTTAGATTTATCCTCCCACCAGTTGAACTAGTAAATGTAATTAATGTCTCGAGTAAAGACCTTATAGGTAATCAGCAGTTTGGATCCATTCTCAGACTAACAGAATTAAGCTTTATTCCATCAAAACCAAGTTTATCTAAGCTGTAATCTTGTGGTATACTCATAGATATGTCCGAGTTTGATCATGAGACTAAAATCCAAGAGATTTTCATACAGGAATCTTGATATTAGCTTAGATGGATGCAATAATAAAAACTAAGTTACATGGAGATACAGTTCCAGAATTTAAACCAGTTTAAAATTTAAACTGGTTAAAATTTCAGTTTTAAATGGTTTCCTACCATGGAAACCAAGAGAGTAAATAAAATGAAACTGCTTTTCCAGGCAATTAAAAACATTCTTTAATCAGCTTCAAGTTAGAAAGTTTAAACAGCATAAGGAACTGAGGGAATTGAGATGTTAAAAAACTTGTGAAACAGATATATTGAAACACGAAAAGTAACATCATTGCAAAAAAAAAACCCAAACCCAAGCCCCCAGAAATCAAATCCCAGCTCTGTTGACTAGAAAAGCAGTGTTAGCATTTGCAGTCTATGCAACTCTTGACACAGACTTGGCTGTTGCTTTGAACAATCTCAGTGTTTTCCCAAGTTTAGATGAAAAAGATGCTCAGTGCAGATCTTTCCTCAGTGTCTGAGGTGTGATTCACCAGCTACCAGGGAGTACAGAAAAGCTTTGAGCAAAAGGAAGAGCAAACAGCACAGTAATGTAGTCCTAACATCCCCTTTCTTCACCTGCTTAGAAAATAAATTTGTGACTTGCCTGTTCTGAGTTACTGAGATTAATCAAATCTAGGTATTGTGCAAAATTTATGCTTTTGAATAGTTCTTACCTGAGAGTGAAAATTTGAAATTGTTGTTGTTTCAATGTCCTTCTTGCCCAAAATTTCCATTTTCACTGGAGTGTTTGGAAAGTTAAAAGCAAAGTAATCCAGGAAGTCTGGTAAGTAGGCAGCTGCTCCGTGCACTATGGCTAAAGCATAGTAAGCTGCATTTTTATCATTTTCACTGAATGACAATGCAAGAAACTCTTCTGCAAATCTCTCCATCTCCACTGGAGACAAAAATGAGAGTTCATCCATGTAAGCATGCAGGACCAGGGCACCTCCATTGGACTGATGCTCCTCGTGAATGAAGTTACTGAATTTAGTGCCAGTCTTGAGGAAGCTGCTGCGCACAGAGTGCTCCTGGTGTGTCACAAACGGGGTCTGCACCCCCTGGGGTACCCGGTACTCCTGCATGCCCAAGTTCAGCCTGCACAGCTGCTCATCCTTCAGGTACCTGAAGGATTCCTTGTTCATTTCCAGGTTGTCACACTGTCCTTGAGACAGGGTCTCCTTGTCAATGCGAGTGAGCCCAGCACACACTGTCTGCACCTCTTTGTTGTACATCTTCAGGCGTTTTCCCCTCACATCTTCCCGGTGTTTCTTTTTCTTTTTTTTCTTCATCTTCTTCATAATAAGACTGTCAGCTCGCTGGGTTTTGCCGTTTTCATCTGGAGTTTCTGGCAGCAACAATAAAGAGAAGATTAGAGTTCTGCAGTTGCAGCATATTCACCCCAAAAAGAATTCAGGTCTCTCACTTGCTGAAGGGATCTATTCCCAGGGAGACTGACCAATTGTAAAATATTACATTTTTGGTTATAAAATTAAGTCAAAAGTCGGAGTACCTATAATTAAACAAATAAAGCCCTGTATTAAGGAAAACTTCCAAAATTCTAGCTTAAATTTTAGAAATACTTCCATTTTTAACAGATTTATTATTGTACCTTTAAAAGGAGTCTGTGTTTCAGAACATCTATAATTAAGTACATTAATAACTTCTGACATTTAAGGCACTGCCATACAGAGGAAGAGGATAAACAAGTATGTGTAACATTTAAACATCAAGACTTTCATTACAGAACACTTCCCTGATTTTGGACACGTGATACAGAAGCAAACAGAGTAGTACTGAAGAGCTACAAGCTTTACTTACATTTAGAAGTAAAAGCATTTAAGTAAATCTTAGACTGCTGATCTTTTAAAATTAAACGACCCAAACCATCACATGAACAGATTCAGTCTTATAGTTAACGATGCAGTTAATGGAGAGAAAGAAATTAAGAGCCTGCTTCAGTTGTTTGGGTTTTTTTTTTTGAGGCTAATCAATCTCTAAAAGGCTGAGAGATAAAATGTAAAGAAATAGTTCTGTCAGGCAAAATGGAATAGTTTGAGTTGCTCTTCTTGCAAGAATAAAGACTAATTCAAGTAACATTTAGCAAGAGACAAAGGTAATTAGAAAACTTAATGCTCCAGCTGTTAAAAACTCAATTGCCAAGACAAGATTTTAATGTATCTGAATCAAAGAACCACTTCATCCAACAATGCCCATAAATCTCCTGGAGCTGGGTTAGCAGGATAGCCATGGGGATGAGAACAACCTGCTGCTGAGGACAACACCTGACCAAACATGCAGGAACTAAAGTTTTACCATTTCCCCACAGTTCTGTCCTAATAAAATTTCCTTTCTTTGGCTGCACATCGGTATTCCCTCTTTATTCTCTTAGAGCACTTCAGTTAAAGAAAAAAAAAAAAAAAACATGTTGCACTGTTTTATGAGAAAGGGTGCAGTGATAAACACAGGCAGCTCCAGGTTCTCTAGTGTAACCAGTGTTTAACTGGATCATTACTGGTTTGGTCTCAGAGCTCGTTACTGGAGAGGTCTGACCTTCATAACAGCCTGGAGTAAGGAACAGAGTTACTCACGGAGCAAAGAAAGAGCTGATTGCTTAATCCTCGCTTCATACAATAGTCTTAGGACCTGAAATACGAGTTTTCACTGTGCTGCTGCAGCTCTTGCAAACAGCAAAGGCCCTGATGTTTCTATTTCAGAGAAACCAGGAAAAGCAGGGCAGTATCACTTGTTCTGGGAAGTCATCTGAGAGGGTTCTTGGAATGAGGCTTTCTGCAAGGCTCAGCTTTGCTCACTGGGCTCTGGGGCACAGACACTGCTTTACTCACCGAGTGAACGTGCAATTCACACACCAGGCATTTGTCCTGGTGGGAACAGACATCCCAAGCTGCAGCTAAACAAGAATTTCATGCCACCACCGAGCTGCTGGGAATACTTCCCTATGCACGTTTTAAGAACACTTGGTTGTTAAAGGTCTCTTATTTTAAGCATCTCTGATTTTAGGTATAGCTTAAAACCTCACACATTTTAATTTAGAGCATCTTCCTGTTTGAAGCAGTATCCTAAAAACAGACAGAGGAATCCTTGCATTTGGGAATTTCCAGTGAACACTTGCCTGTTTTCAGGATAAAAGCTGCTGCTGGATCCACCGAACACGCAGAGTCCCACTATTACAGTGAATAATACTGTACTCAGTGAAGCTGAACAGTGACATTATAATAACGCCTGGCAATCTTGAAGGAACTATAGTTTTAATTACTCCTTTCAATAACCAGAAAGCCTCCAGCATATCAAACACAAAAAAGCTGTGGACAGGTCACTAAACTATGGGCTCAGCAGTGAGGCAGAGTGACAGCAGGGCCAGTAACTCAGCTACTCTAAAATGATCACACATCTCACAACAAAACCTGAACCATTATTTAACAGCAAAAACAGTGGGGGCGTTCACTGTCACCTAGGGCCACAGATAAGCACGGTATACTCAATGTAATAGGTAATTTAATTATATTATACATCAAAATAAAAACTGATAGCCAGGAAATACAGCCCCATCCCAAAAGGCACCACCCCGACAGCTGAGGACAGGCAGTGAAGAGCTTCAGATGAGCAAACACCTTTCCTTTGCAAATCTGGAATTTTGATACTCATTTTCACGCTGTTTAAGCCTTCATTAAGAGGCCTAATTTAATTCGGGGTTAGAACTGACACAGTGACACTCCAGTCGCTCTAAGTTACACTGCTCCAAACTTCTCCCTGATAAACACTGATAGAATTGCAGAGGTTTACAGTCAGAAGCTTTTATAATCACTATTCAAGCACAGTAGTGTGGAAGCATTAGCCAGTGGAGAAAAGCCTCTCCTAAGTAATAGTTTTGTCTGTTCTTAAGACAGTCCTATCTAGAGTTTACTCTACAGACACTCGACTTCTGTAAGCAAGTGCATCTTTGGTTTCTTTGGCACGAAACCTGCCCATACACTCCTCAAGCATAATTCACCACATTATATTTTTAATTACAGCAGCATTTGCAGTAATTTTTTATCTGTGTTGCTCTCTCCAAGAAGCTTTTTACTATAACAAATCTCTGAGCAGAACCAAAACAATCACTCTGTACTGGTAAAAAAAAAAAACAATAAACAAAACCACGCACAGCACACACCAAAATCCAAAGATATTTTGGCCTTTCAGTGAAAGAAAACACAGAACAATTCAGGTTGGAAGACACCTGTGGAAATCATCCAGTGAAACCCCCCTGCCAAGGCAGGGTCACCTGGAGCAGGTGACACAGATCTGCAGCCAGGGAGACTCCAGGACCTCCCTGGGCACCTGTTCCAGTGCTCTGCCGCCCTTCATTGAAATAAATTCTTCCTCACGTTGAGAAGGAACTTCTTGTGTTTTAGTTTATGGCTATTCTGCCTTGTCCTGTTGTCGGGCACCCCTGCAAAGAATCTGGCACCATCCTCTGCCACCCGCCCTGGAAATATTTGTATGGAATCACGAGATCGCTTCTCAGGCCGCTTATTAGCACCAACAATTAAAAATAAAAATAATAAAAAAACCCCCAACAACTCAGCAGCCCCGCACACGCTAATGCAAGCACTGAGTGAAGAAACCTTGACTCCCACAGCACCTGCACGTTGAACCTGCGATGAGGGCGATTCTGACAGCAGCAGCAGCGCGCCCACCCCGCGCTCCGTGCCCGGGCAGCACCGCCGTGCCCGCTACCCTCCACAGGGCCGAGCCCTCCTCGCTGCCGCCGCCCGCTGCCCTCCACAGGTGCGCCCGGGGCTCCCGGCGCGGCGCTGCCGCCCGAACCCGCCCGGGGCACCCGCCGGCCCCGCGACCCCCGCGCTCCCCCCGCCGCTCACCTCGCTGGCTGGGCCGCCCCGCCGCGCCGTCCGCGGGGCTGCCGCGCCTCGCCTTGTGGCCGGCGGGCTCGGCGTGGTGCCGGTGGTGGTGTCGGCGCTCCCCGGGCGGCGGGAGGCTGAGCGGGGAGAACGTGAACAGCCCCGCGGCGGCGGGGAGGGCGGGCGGGGGCAGCGGCTCCGCCGGGCCGGGCCCCGCGAGCAGCGGCTGGCTCGGCCGGGCCCGCTTGGCGGCCGGCGGTTCGCCGGGTGCCGTCCGCCGGCGGCGAGGCCCGCGGGGCCGGGCGGGCCGGTCCGCTGAGGGCGGCGGCGGCTCCTCCGGGGCCCGCGGCACCGCGGCGACCTGCGCGGCCATTTCAGGGGCTCCCTCACACACATTTAAATGGCCCGAGCGCCGGGCGCCGCCGCGCACGCGCCGCCGCGGGGCACCCTGGGATCTGTAGTTCGGCGGCGGGGGCGCGTGCGCGCGGCGTGGGTCACGTGGGCGGGGAAGCGCTGAGGGAGCGCGGGCCCGGGCAGTGGGGAGAGGTAAAAAAACTTTTATTTTTATCGCGTTTGTCGCTTGTTCTGAAGGGCTTCATCCATTAAACGCCGACCGCGGGGTGCTGTGGAGGCTTTCCCCGTGAGGGAGATGTTGTGGAGCTGTTGGAGCGAGCCTAAAGAGGCCATCCTTGCCCATGGCAGTGGGATGGAATAAAGTCATCGAATCATAGAATGTTAAGGGTTGGAAAAGAATTTAAAAATATCGTTTTACCCCCTGCCATAGGCTGGGACACCTTCCACTGCACCAGGTTGCTCCAAACCCCATCCAACCTGAGAGAAACAGGAATATAATTTGGGTAAAGGTTTTCACTCTTTTCTGCTGTTAAGAAAACCCGTGACTACAGTAATAAAAAAGGCAATATTGGCTATTCCCCCGACTTTAAACCAGTTGAGCTTTCCATTCCAGCAGTGGTCAGCAGATTCTTCTTGACCAAATTCCCCAAATCCCACCTTGGTTGGTGTTTTTTTGGTTTTTTGGTTTTTTTTTTTGGTTTTTTTTTATTATTATTATTTTTGGTCTTTACAGGAAAAAGAATAATATAAAGCAATTTTCAGCATCTTTATTCCTCCCCACTGATAAAAATAGCAGTGGAACCTGGTGAGGAATCTGGTGAGAAATCTCACCTTCCCTCTTCCCATTAGAAATTCTGTGCTGGAGTATCACAAATCCTTAAAAATAGCATTGTTTTTAAAATACAATTATATTTTGCTTGCTATCGTGGTGTTTTGGGATTTTTCAGATAGAAGAGCAGCTAGGTCAGTCAATTGTGCAGTCCAGTTACACCGGTTTAGTTCCTATGGGATCAATCACCCTCTTCAGTCTTATTGTCCCAAAATCCAGAGAAATGCTCTGATTCACTCAGACGGGAAAAAAAAAAAAAAAGTTTATATTATTTCTAAAATTAGGGATGCTAATTCCCTCTTAGTCCAAGTAATGTAAACATTTCAGTGTCTTTAATTACAGTAGACCTACAAACGTGAGAGAGGGTCTTGATCCACCTCACTCTGCTCTGTTGGCTTTCCAGATTATTCCACAGTCTTCACTGGGTCCCATCATCAGTTTCTGCTCAAATCCATCCTTTTGAAGTGATTACATTCCAAAACACGACAAAAACATGTCCCTCCTTAGGATAAAACTTGTATTCCAAGGTTTACCTTCCATCCCATTGCCAATTAACTGAAAGCTGCTGGTACTTTTGCATTCTTGACTTTAAAACTCCAGTTTTAAATCCAATGAATGTGTAAGTAGTGCCTGAGCTGCCAATACCGTGTAACAGCTTTGGATGTGTTTATTTTGGTGGAAGCTTCACTGGGATGGGCATTCCAAGTATTTCAGGATGACTTCACAAATCTGCAACGCCAAGTCTATAAAATACATCTAAATATTCCATGCTGGGGGTGGATTTCTTGGTCCTTTAGGTTTTGAAAATCGATTTGCAAAGCCTAGGAAGAAATAGTGTATTTTTTAATGCAACAAATTCTTATGTTACAGATGCTGATTATATAATCCCTTAAAATAACACAAGAATTGAAAATACTTATAATTTCAGATCTTTCCCAAGCTTTAAGATATGACAGAAAAGCAACATCCTGTTGTTGCAAATAAAGTTGTAAATGTGAAAAAATTAATTATGTAAAACCCAACGAGCATTATTTGAAATACTTGTCATTTGTAAGTGTTTAGACTTCCAAGAACCAGGTTTTTCCTACCAAAACATGAAGAGGAAAACATACCAAAGTTAAGGAAAGACCTTGAAGAGTTTGTCGGGGCAGGTTCTGATGATTTTGTCAGTGAAGATGGATTGCAGATGCCTGGAAATAAAACATGAGACTGCAGCAATTGGTCACTGGTAATTCCAGAGCCAAACTTGGTGAACCATGGAATTCTTTAGGCTGGAAAAGGCCTCTAAGATCATCAAGTCCAACCATCAAACCAGCACCAGGTCTTGGACACTTACAGGGATCCAGGAGCAGCCAAAACTGCTCTGGGCACCCTGTGCCAGGGCCTGCCCACCCTCACAAGGGAGAATTCCTTCCTTAATTTGTGCAATCCCATATTTACAGGGAATGGATTTACTACTGCAGCAAGATCTGCTGAGAAAACGTTTGCTCAAAAGTGCTTTAAACCCTTTTTAGCAGTGCTGTTTTCAAGATGAAAATTTTAATTTTAGATCAAAGGGATTCTAGTGGGAGATTCCTTATTTATGTCTTGGTCAGAATCTGGACTGAGGCTCACATTCTTCCAGCACCCATATCTCCCATTTTTAGGGTCCTGCAACAGGTTTGAAGGCCTGAAGAATTGGATAATTTGTCCCCAAGGTCCCCAAAGGGCAGCACACATCCTTAGGACATTCCTACAACAGCTACAGCTCTCCAGGTGAGAAGGTGCTCAGCTGGCACAGCTCTGTGTGTCCCACTCCAAAGTGCAGGGAATTTCACACTGGAAAAGTTCAGGTTCTTGGTGTTTCTGTCCCACACATTTAAATACTTGCTTAAATCCATTGGGAAGACATTAGCCTGGAAGACTTACTTTTTCTCACATTTTTCAATATTTTCAAGCTCTGTTAAAAAAAATAGAAAAAGGCTAGTTGGAAAAATAAATGTGTGAAGCAGTGGATCAGCTACTGTGGTAAAAGGAATTCACTGGTAATGCACATATATAAAAACACTGATAAATGTACATGTATAAATAGATCAGCTACTGTGGGAATTCACTGGTAAATGTACAAGTATCACATTTCATAAAAAGCAAACTTAGTGCTACTCTCTTTGGCTTTTTCCTTGTCATCCCAAGTGCCTCTAGTTTGTATTTTTCTTGCTGTTTTCCTCAAGTGCTTTTCTGTTCCACCATAACACCCCAAAGTACAACCTCATGAGGATGATTAACAGGAGGCTGAACAAGAGGAGGCTGATGGTTCTGTCCTTGTAGGACAGACCCAGACTCCACTGGAGCAACTTTTCCCAGAGGAAGTGGCAAGGCAAAACCACTGTCAGGGCAGGGCTGGGTTACCCTGTTCCCAGTGCAGACAGGATGGGTGTCTGCAGTTCTACACCAAAATATTTTATTACTCTTGTTTTCTTGCCCTAAACTCTCTCAGAGCAGGCCCTGTTCCCCCAGTGACAGTGAGAGAGCAGCACCAGCTGGGCCAGAGCTCTTCTCTCTCCCTCCACGGTTTCCACACGTTTTGTTTCTTTTACCTTGCTCCTCCTGAAGCATTTCATGAGTTCTTTGGATGATGTTTGTGAGCCCTTGTTCTCCGAACCCGCAGGACTCGAGGAATTTCTTGCAGCAGGCTGCAGACCTGGGTACATACATCATATGTTCATTTTCAGTGGTCATTCACAAACCCTCCTGCTTTTTTTCCAAGTGCTTTGTTGTTGCTTTTCATCTCCTCTAATGCAGCACTTCTAGAAATTCTCTGCAGGTTCCCTACTTGTGTTTATTTTCATTGTATTTACTGAACTCTCCTGCAGGGAAGTGCTGGTGCACTATCTGATAATGCTTTGAACAAGTGGGCCACGCTCTCAGAAACCTGCAGCTTCAGGTGTGAGTGTAAAACCTCAGTTACATCCTGAGAAAAGAGCTCAGCACTTACTTGCTGCCTCAGCAAGAACAAACGACTCCGGGGTTCTTTCAGGAAGCGGAGGAGGAGAATTAGAGCGATCCTGGGTTGTCTCTGAGAAAGCAAAGATAAAAGAATTGGTTACCTAGCTTTAAAATAATTTATCTATTAGAAGCAACCGGATTATCTCAGTTGCCTCAAAGGAAACACACAACATGCAGACAAAGAGGAGGCTGCAAGGAACAGCCTCGTGTACAGGATGAGGATCAGCAGGAGCTGATCAGGAAACATAAAACTACCAGTTCACTTGTTTGCAGAACTGTCTAGTTATGGTTAGAACTATTTAGTTGAAGAACTATTTAGCAACAATTTCTGTTGCACTGAGCACAGATCTTGAACACATTTACTAAATAAAGCAGTTTCAGAAAAAAATCAGGTCTTAATTCCAAAGATTATCCCAGCATTAAACTTGTACCTGTTCGTGGGCTCCAAAGCTTCACACTCTGGAAACAAAAAACAAGGCAGGTATTTAAAATCCCCACGTCCAAATGTTGTTTTCTTGCACACAAGGAAGCCAGAGAAGATGAGGAAAGGATGTGATGTGCAAACACCCTCCCACATACACCTCCATGCTTGTGTAAAGGAAGACAGACTTGTGCCTCATTCTTCCACTTCACAGAGCTGTCACTCAGCTATGGGATGATCAAGACATGCATACATTTTGTTCAGCTCCTGTTGGTTCCACAGGGCTGTGAGAAGCTCAGCAGACACTAATGTCTTGTTTTCATTATTCTTCTCTAAATGAGGGACAGTATGTTTATTACCCTGTACTGGTCTTAGAATCCCAAGAAATATTGTTTGGGGTAAAGTAGATGTTGATAAGAAGGTGCTGAATTGAGGCCACATTTCCTTTCCAATCCTGAGCCCTGAAATCACTGGAAGTGTTCAAAGCCGTGTTGGACAGGCCTTGGAGCAACCTGGTCTAGTGGAAGGTGTCCCTGCCCATGGCAGAGGGGTGGAATGGGATTATCTTAAAATAATCCAACCCAAACCATTCCATGAGTCTTGATTCTATGAAATAATTTATGGCAAGTAGAAAGTGCCAAAACTGGAGTCTTTCTCAGAGAAGGAAACGTGGTAAGGAGATTGGCATAGGAATAGTGCAGGAAAAGGGGTAAAAAGCCATTTAGTTACCTTACATGGTCTCAGTCTCACAGGGTCATGAAACCTCTCTGAGTGAGACTCACCACTCCACTCCCAGGAGGTTCCAATATTTGGATTTCTGTCTGGAAGCTGGAAATCCAAAGTGGCCCGAGGAAATTGTCCTAGAAGCAATTGAACACCAGAGAGATCATTCCTCATCCCAGGCACTGCCAGAGGCTACAAAACCACCCTGATGTTGGATGAGGCCTCAGTGCTGCTCAGAGGCACATTTAATGTTGATAGTCACTCACCCGACTCACTGGCCACGATGAAGGACTCGGGGGTGCGCTGGGGCAGGGGTGGAGGAGCATCATCATCATCAGGCTGTGGCAGGGGGGCTGCTTGGGGAGACATGGACAGCTTAGTGGCGTGGCAGGACATGAGTGGGACCACAGAGCCGTGTAGGGGAGGGGGCTGCTCCTGCCCTGCCACGCACCAGAGATTAAAGTTAAACACCCAAATAACTGCCAGCACCAATTGCACCAGGAAAGTGAGCATAACCCAGCACAGAGCCAGGCACACAGCTGGTGGTTCTGTTGCTGCTGGGCTTGGGCTGCAACTCCCAGCACTTCCCAAGGGAATGGGCATGTCTTTGTGACATTGGATGCTGAGGGGCCTGGGCAGGACAAAAGTGGAGCAAGTGCCAAAGCTGTGGACAATAGGGAATGTCTAATTGCACCAGGACTGGAAATAATTCCACCTTCTTCATATGACAGGTGATGGATTAAAGGCTACAGATCTGGAAAAAACACTTCTATTGAATTAATGGAATCACAGAATGGGTTGGGTTGGAAGGGACCTTAAAAACCATTTAGGTCCAACACCCCACCATGAGCAGGGGTATCACCCAGGTTGCTCAGGGCCCCTGAACTCCTGGATCTCTCAATCTCGGTGAGATTTCAGTGTCCCCTGCATGACAGCACAGCAAAGAGTGTGGTTTGACCTGAAAACTAGATCCTCAGGAATAGAAAAACATTTCTGGGAGCTTTTTGAATGCTTTTTGGAGTGCCTTGGTGTAAGAATTGGTCAGCACTGTTCCTGCCTCCCTGTGAGAGCTGTTCTGAGGTGCTACACTGGTTTAGGGCAGCTGTGTAATGCAAACACCAAAATTATGCTGCTCTAAAGATGTTTGTGGGAAAAAACTTCAGGGAGGATGAAAAGTGTGAGGATGAAACCAGTTGCTCCCTCAGCTCCCAAGAGAGCCCAGTCCTGAGGAGCAGCTACAGCCCTGCCTGGACACCAGCTGACCACACTGAGCACACCCTCCAGCACACCCCAGCCCAGAGTGACCTGGTCCCACGTGTGTCCTTGTCCCAGGAGCACTCACCCGAGGGGAAGATCGTGTCCTGGCTCGGGGCAGCGTGGTGGGATGATGGGGAGCTGGCTGTGCTGGGCTGCACTGGGGCAGAGCACGAAGGGAGGAGCTCATGCTGCCCCTCCAGAAAGGGAAACACGGGGGACACGGGGCTGTCTGGAGAGAGTGATGAGAAGTAGGGGTCTTCTGCTGAGCACAGGTGAGGGTGAGGGCATTGCCCCTGGTTCCTGTGGCCTGTGGGCCCATCTGCTGCTCCTCTGGAAGGTTTCAGGTCCGCAGGGGAAAATCCATCCTGGAAGCTCGAGTGACCAGATTTTGGCCACTGTGGGCTCCAAACAGGCTTGGCATCCCCTGCATCCCATTCCCAGCCTTCTGCCCGCTGCCCCAGAGGGGTGGATACAGTCCATGCCAGAGGTGCTCTGCCACCAGGCCCCCTCCCTCCTGCTCCCTTTGGCTCCAGCTCCAGCTCCCAACTGCGGCGTTTCTGAGGAGCATCCCCAGCACCCCAGGGCTCGCTGGCAGCTGCTTTCCTGCAGCTGATGGAGTTGAGAGCCCCGAAGGAGATGGCCTGTCTGATGGGGGGCACTCTCTGGGCAGAGCTGTGCTGTGCTCCTGGGGCACTCAGCGAGGGCAGGGACACTTTGCTCTGTAACTCTGGAGGGAGATGCTGGTGCCCATCCTGCTGCACAGGGAGATGTTGGTGTGGAGCCTGCTCCTCTCGCTCAGAGCTGCAGTAAAAGCACAAAGAAGTGGTGGGGAGTTAAAGCCATGGAGGGTTCAGAAAATGTTAGCCCACTAACAGAGCCCACAGGAGCGATTCCCCCAGCCCAGCCTCAAGCAAGGAGCACAGGGAAGGACTGTGCTCCATTTCAAGCCTGTTAAATGGTGAACAGAGGAGGCCCCTTTATGTCAGCAAACTGAACCAGAAAACAAAATTATTTACAGGAAGCAGACACTGCAATCCCAAACGTGTCCACAGAGAGATCCACCACCCTCGGAAGCTGCTGGTATTGGGAAGCTGCATCCTCAGCATTGCTAATTGCTATTCCTGCAGCAAGGGGCACTGCAGTGGAGTGTGCAGATGGAAGATGGGACCAGTGTGGGGGCATTCCATGCCAGGCACAGGGCTGGGATGACCCAGCCTCTATGTTCATGAGACTTTTTAATACTGTTTTATACCGTTTTATAATGTTTTATACTGTTTTCATTTCATATGTGAAATACTGCATGACACAAAGCCCAGGGCAGAAGAAGGGGACAGATAATGGCACACAAGGAACAGGCTGAGATACATTAGTGAGAAAAGCAGGAATTGTTAGGAAATTAGGAAAAGTTTCTTCATTGAGGGGCTGATCAGGGATTGCAACAGGCTGCCCAGGGAAGTGGAGGGAACACCATCTGTGGGAGTGTTCAAAAAATATGTAGATGTGGCACTTGGGGACATGGCTTAGTGTTGGACCTGGGTTAATGGTTGTGCTCGGTGGTCTTAGAAGACTTTTCCAATCTTTATGACTCTATGAATTATGTTAGGAACAAACATGAGAGTCAAAGTGGGACTCAAGGGAGACTGGAGATCCTGAGAGCTAAAGAGTTCCAAAGCACACACCAAAAAGTTTATCTCTCTGAAATCTTGTGGGTGACTGCAAATACCAACCAGGCATCCTTGTGCTGAGCCTTACCAGGTGAGTGAACTCAGGCCATAAATGTCTTCCACTGGAGTCAGGACTGGCTTGGCTACAGGATGTCCTGCTCCTTCCTAGGGAAAGGAAATATTTGCAAACAAGAGTGAGGAGGCAGAATGCAAAGAACACCAATGTGGCTGCTTCAGGAGCTGGGATTTTTGCCAAATACTTCTAATTACTAATTACTAAATTACTTGGGAAATGACACCAAGGTAAAGCTGAAAGCTGCAGACAGAACTTTCTGAAGAGCAACTCCTGCTGGCACCGCTCTGAAATGAGAGTCCAGCGAGACCTACAACCATCCAGCTGTGCCAAACAGCTGGCAGGAGCCTATGCAGACACTCTGCCCTCAGGAGCCCACACTGGGCAAGCTGGGTGCTGGTTTTGTTTGTGACACCAGCTCATGGCCAGCCCTGTGCTCTGCACAGTGTCCTCAGAGAACAGGGAGGTTTAGGGGGGCGAGAGGTTTGGGCAAGAGCTACGAAACCACATCCTGACTTGAAACGTCCTCTGCATTTTGTGTCAACCAGCCCTGTGTGACCTTTGCTCACAGACTGTCCTTAACCAGTCCAAAAAGGCTTTTTCCAGTTCTTTTCTCACTTAGCTCTGGCTTGGAACATTCTGCAAACCCTGTGGCAAAAACTGAGGGACGAGTCCCATCACAGGATCCCCTTCCCAATTCTTTAGATAAACGTTTCTGAAAAAATGAGCTCACAGTGACCTTCCAGGCTTTGCTGTGATGCATTCACTTTCCTGGATTTGATCCAGTGAGGCTCCTGTCAGCAGTCACAGAACAGCAAGAGCAAAGAAAACTACAACCAGAGATATTTTGGCAATTCCTGTTAATATGCAGCTTCACACCAAGACCACGTTTCTTTCCCTCAGAAGTGTAACAGATCTGTGAGACTTTGCCATGGTTTTTTATAAGATATTTCCCCCTGTGCCCTACCACAGACAGGCTGTAGTGCTGATTCCCTCACTAGCCTGGTCTGAAAACCCTCAGCTGCTTGCAAGCACTCCATGAAGACAAGTTCCAGTGGCACATCCCCATGGAAATCAATCACTTCTGTAGAAAATTCGTGCTGTGCTATTCGCTCATGACATTAAACAATCATAAAAATATATAGAAAATAGAAAATGGTTTTGAGACTGAAGAAAATCTAGGTCTTGTTTGTGATTGCACATTCAGGGGAAGAGCTGGGTTCTCATGGGTTAATATCAAAAGAAACTCAGTTTGGGTATCAAGGGGAGCAGAAAATATGGGAATTCATCCCAGGTCTGCAGAGGAATTGAGGTTAGAGCTGGAGTGCCCAGGCTGCAAGGGGCAGGGTGTTTGTCCTGGGACTTTTACCTGTGAAGCAGCAGAATCCTTCTGGGCATCGAGTGCTTGGATCTGCCTTTTGAAGAGCTCGATCACTGCATCATAAACCAGCTCATACTGCTCCTGCATTGCAGACAGACAAAAAATGTGACAGCCAGCAGTGGTGGGACCTGTCAATGGTCACTTCTTGCCAAGCAAGCATCATCCCCAGAGAAGCTGCCTTTCCTGTCCTTTGGCAGGGTGTGAAATCTGAGAAGAGGCAGAAGCCACAACTCTCACAGGGTTCACCCTGAAGCGTTTGGGGGGTTTTTGGGTGAGCAAGCAACTCTGTTCTGCATTGAGCTTCCTCTTCAGTCTGTTGCAGCTGAGAAAAGTTCCCACTTTATTGCCTGGACAGTCCCTGGTTTCACAGTGTAAGCATTCAATAAATCACACTGTGAGCACTGCCCAGCTGTCCACAAGGAAACGTTCAGCTACCAAATTAATTTCTGCCAAATCATTGTTCTGTTCAGAAAAGGGACTTTGCACAACATCTCCACACCCCAGCTCCCACCAGCTCCACTGCTCTGGGTTTCCCTGCTGTGAACCCTCCTGGGGAAGAGCTGAGGTGCCAGCATGGACCAGCTGGGGACGTTCCCCAAGCACACCTTGGTCTGCACTATGCAAGGTCTCTGCGTGCGCATTTCCTGGATCACGCTGAAAACACTGAAGTTCACTGGAACAATCTGGCAAGAAAAAGACAAAATGGTTTCAAACTAAAAGAGGAGAGATTTAGATTTAATATTGGGAAGGAATTGCTCTCTGTGAAGGTGGAGAGGTCCTGGCAAAGGGTGCCAGAGAAGCTGTGGTTGCCCCTGGATCCCTGGAAGTGCCCAAGGCCAGATTGGATGGGGCTGGGAGCAGCCTGGGACAGTGGAAGGTGTTCCTGCAGATGGCAGGGGGCTGGAAAGAAAGGATTTTTAAAATCCTTCCAACCCAAATATTTCCATGATTTCTGTGATTTCTCTGATTAAAAATTTCAGACAGGTCTAATTCCATGAAGCTTCCAAGTCATGACACAGTTCAGAGCGCTGTCTGAAATCCAGGCCTGCTACTGCAATAATTTTTAACAAACGGCCTGCTTAAAATGTGATTTTATTTATTACAAACCATCCTCCTCCCTCCTGTCTCACACTCCACAGAAAATACCCTTTTTATAACAGCTGGGCAGCACGATGGATGTGACACTGATTTCCCAGCTGGGTGGGTTCAGGGAGCTGTAGAACAGAAGGCAGCAGGCTCTCCTCGGAGTCCCAGCACTGCCCTGAGGCCAGGGATTACTGCCTGTACCGTTCTTGGAGAGTCAGAGTAAAGCAAGGGCGTGGTTTAGAAATACTGAATATCTGATGTGTGAGTGCAGAGACACACATGTGGACAGTAAAGATGTATTGAAGAGTGAAGGTCAGCACTTCAGAGCTGAAGGCCTGGCCTGAGGGAGCAGTGGAGGGGGGATTCTGCCCCACTGGTGTGATGCTGCCTAAAGACAGAGGAGTGGCACAGACTGGGATTGGGGAATCAGCCCTTCAGCCACTGCCCTTCTCCAGTCAGGCTGTGGGGAGCTCCCATCCACCTGGAATCCACCTGAGAGGGGCTGGAAGGCAGAGGGAAGGCTGGGGAGGGACAGAGGGGTGCAGGGCTGGCACTCACCCCATCCTGCAGCAGCTTCTGGGTGTAGTCGATGGCGCAGATGACGCCGGTTCTGCCACAGCCAGCACTGCAATGACAGCCCAGGCACAGGGTGGGCACGCTGTGATTTCTGACAGGGATGTTTGGAAAAGACCCACAGCCACCTGTGACCCTGCTGTCCCACACACATCCTGCAGACCTGCGGGATGCTGCAGCTTCAGCCCACGCAGGGCTCTGCTGCACAGGGCTGGGAGGCACAGCTCATCCCCTGAGAGCAGCTCTCAGTCCTCCTCTGGTCATGTGGCCATGCCCAGCTGTGGTGGTGGTCCCTGACCCAGACATTCTCACTCTCTACACCTCCCTGACAGGAGGGTGTAGCCAGCCCTGTGCTGGTCTCTTCTCCCAACTAGCAAGGGACAGGACAAGAGGAAATGGCCTCAGGTTGCCCCAGGGGAGGTTTAAATTGCATATTGGGGAAAATTTCTACACCAAAAGCATTGTCAAGCACTGGCACAGGCTGCCCAGGACAGTGGTGAAGTCACCATTGAGAACAGGTGTAGATGTGACACTTGAGGACGAGGTTTAGGGTGGCCTTGGCAGAGCTGGGCAAATGGTTGGACTCGACCACCTTAAGGGACTTTTCCAACCAAACAATTCCACGGTGCTGTGATTCTATTGCTGGCCTCCTTCCCTGCCCCCTGGCCGTGCTGGCTGTCCTCAGAGGAGCCTTTTGCTTTAGGACTACCTACAAGAGGAGCGTGGCTATGGGCTTGGCCACCTTCCCTGCCCTGTGGCCCCTGGGGATGTGGCAGCCCAGGGGTCTGGGGGCCAGCAGCCCTTCCCTGCTGGCAGCCAGCCCACCCACCTGCAGTGGATGCAGACAGGGACCCTGTCCTCGGGCTGGTAGCAGCGAATGTCCCTGATGAGCTCCAGGATGGGCTCGATGGATGAGGGGACGTGGTGGTCTGGCCAGTTTTTGTAGTGGAAGTGGTAGATGGTGCGGGTTGCCTGCAGGAGAAGAGCAGTGGCAGGATTTCTGCTGGATTTCTACTGAATCAGAAGAGCTGGGTTTCTGCTCCATCCCCAGCTCCCACCTGCATCAGCAGCAAAGGGCAGAGCAGCAGTTTGCAGTTGGTTTTGCTGCAGGAGCTGTGTTATGACATTCTTGGCCTCACTTACCCGGAGTCTGATTTGCCATGACTGAAAAACAGCTTCAGAAACTGAGGTCTGAGTTAATGAATTTTTTACTTCCTTTGTTCCCTCAACTGCTGTCAAATCTAATTCAGCAGCCTGAGCAATGTAAAATTTTCTGCACAAAATGTACCATATTTCAATAAATTATTTATATAACAAAGCCAGCCCAGGTGCATTTTCTGCCTTGACCTTTCCTCCTTACCTCATTCAGGGTCACCTTTAAAGTCCTAATCACATATTCATTCCTCTTCTCCTCAGCCTCCTGCAGAAGAAGGAGTCAGAGTCAGATTTTCCGTGGCTGCCCCGGGCTGGGGCAGGGTGCTGGGGTGGCTGCACTCACACAGGTGATGGAGAAGGGGCCGCAGTGCAGGGGGGAGCCGCCCACCTCCGCCCAGTACCGCTCACATTTCTTCTGTTGGGACAAGCAGGATGTGTTTGGTTATTCCCCACTGGCCCAGCTGTGCTGTCTCCTTTTTCACTTTTCAGGACAAAATTCACACTGGGAAGAGGCTCAGCTCTTGCTGCTGTCCAGCTCCAGCCTCCTCTTCCTTGGAGCTGCCACTGCTGTTTTTCCCTTTCCAGAGAAATTCCCTAAACTACTGGAAATAGCTAAAGGATTTCATGGAATCAGAGACTGGTTTGGTTGGAAGGGACCTTAAAGATCTCATTTCACCCTCTGCCATGGGCAGGGACATCTCCTACAGGACCATTTGCAGCTGGAGACCCAAAAACCTGTTTATATCAAACAGAAACTTGCTGTCACTGATGGGATTTAATAAAAATCTGCGTCTCTCACCCTGCCCTGGTGTCACAGAATCACCTGTGACACGCTACTCACCTTCCCCATTTCAAACTCCATACAAGCCATGACCACGACCTGCAAGAAGAAGGTTCATTAGAAAAGTCTGAACATGAGTTTCTTATCCAGGCAGCAAAATTAAACTCATCTCTTGTGGGCACTTATCAGTGGTAAGGAAACTCTGTGGGCTGCCTTCAGCCAAGCCCCAACTGCCAGAAGAGTCACACTGGGACAACACCCACAGCCTGGCACAAAAACCTCCCCAGCCAGAGCCCAAAGGCAGGGACAGCCACCAGCAGACTCCTGCTCTGGCAGGAGGCTGACAGGAGAGATGTGGGGCACACAAAACATCTGGAGTGAAACCCTGACACTTCCACTGGCTCACAAAGGACTTCTGGCTGGAAGGACAACTTTTCTTTAAAAAAAAAAATATATAAAAAGTTTAAATATAAATCTGCACCTTACCAGGACTTCATACTCCCAAATCATCCTCCAGAAGTCAGTGACAGTAGTGGGGAGAGGACCCTGGGTTGCAATGTATGCTCTTGGCCCATAGACACCCTGGAACATTCAAACCAGACATGGACACGTCTGTGCATAGTTCAGCAGCAGAAATAAAGTCATTCCTCTCTCTGAATGTACTTCTATTAGCAAGCCCATTAATGATTTAGAAGGACTGCTATATTTGAATTTTGGGCACATACATTAACTCAAGCAGTGGTGTGCAAACCAATGGCAGGGCCAAGCTGGGGAGCTGGGACTGAGCTGAGATCTCCTCCCAGAGACCAGCAGAGTTGTTGCTGTGTGTCTGGGAGCTCGGAGGTGATGTGGCCACAGCTCTGTTGCTTATGGCCAAAGAATGAACTGTGATCCTATTGGGAAGGTCTGTTCTTCTGCAGACAGGTTGCACAGAGCCCTGGGTCACTGCTCACTGTCATGGAGAATGAAGGGAACCTTCTATCTATCAATCATCTATCAATTATCTATCTCTCTATCTATCTGTCTGTCAGTCAGAGAAAAGTTGTAGGCCCAGGACAGTCCCAAAACTAGTGGAGCTGAAGAAGGAGCACT